TTCCAAGCAGCCATTTTCTGCCTTTAAAAGCACACACAACCCACAATTCCTCTATTCGCTCCGACGAAGGGCTCAGGCTAACGCTCGAAACGACAGCTTTTATAACCGTAACGGTGGCCAATTTACCATTTCAACTTTGTTGATATATTCAAATTATTTGTTAAAATTTGTTTGTTGATGTGACCTGGGATCACCAAATGCTGCAAACAAGCTGTACTACACACCGGTGAACATTCTGTATTAAAATAAAGCTTACCACTCGAACCCAGACAGATCAATTGGAGTTTCCTGTAATTGTTTAAAGTGTTTTAAGTGAAATAATTGCTTTGGTAATAAATATATAGATAAATAATTACATTTATGCGGAACAAAAATCAACTAGTTCTTCTTTTTCACTGCTTAACAAGACTAACAGTAAAAATCATAATTGACAATTTCAAAAGAAAATCGATTGTCAACGTAAGGTTATCGGCAGCAATAGACTAAGATAATTATCCTGGCTGTAAGTGTCATAAGTATAAATATCCAAATGAAATATCTAAATATATCAAAACTTTAAAGAAATTTTAAATATATGACTCCAAGTCCCGGCCAAACATTGACAAAAAACTGGAATAGCTGTTAGAATAAAGCGGCGGTAACTCATTCCATAAAAATGTAATTCTTTGATAAATCAAAAACTCTAGTGTTTTGTTTTGGTGAGAAAAGTGAATTCCTGATTATGTCATCTGCACGGGAATTTCCCATAAAGCCTTTGGGTTTCATCGCTCATTGATAATGTTTTTTAGGGGTCAACATTTTTGCAATTGAATATCTACGGTTAGGTTACGCAAAATTACATAACGAAAACGGTTAATAATGAATGCCACACAAATTACTGGCATAATCAACAAATGTACAATCAACAGTAAGCCCGAGTTCTATTCACAGTCCTTTAAAATAAACTCTACACAGTCAAATGTACTTCTTCGATTACCATGTGACTAAAGCTTGGATCAAAGACTAACAGCATATACACGTTGCGAAAGCATCCCAAAGCTGCTCAGTTATTTTAAGACCCTGAATGTCAGTCCACTCTGGGGCTTGAACCCTCGACTTCCCCACGACAATAGTCTAATGACCTCGCTGGAAGAGCGATCTCTAGGCCGATCTACATCTGGGATTTCCTATGCATGATAAATGCTCTCCAACTCTAGTAAAACAACCCAAAACATAACCCTTTCGTTTTGTTTTTCAGCCAGTTTAGAGAACCTCCCTGTTCGTCGGAGACTGTTTTTGCTGAGATCAACAAAGCATAACCTCGTATCTTTGGCGTTTCCCCACTTCACTCCAGAGGGTGGGAAGAACAAAGTTCTCGGGAGCGTAGGAACGAGGTCAAAACAAACCTGTGCCTTGTAAAGAAACTATAGTGCTGCGTCGGTGGGGGTATTGCAAGATAATTCTTTTGATCAACTGTTTTAATGTGAACTGGCTACCGTAGAGAGGTTTTAAAGATGACATTTCGCGCGTTAGCCCTTTATTAAAGCGATAACTACCTTTCACTGCGCAAATTGTATACTTTAAACAGCATTTTCTTTACAAGAGTGCGAGTTATTTTACAGTTTCGTGCTAAAGCTACTAAACCGCAACTAATTTTTGACTGGTGCTTGCCACGTGACGTTTCGCGAGATCACGGCGTGATATAACAAGTTAATTTTCAGTACGATCGAAATAGAGATCTCATTGGATGTTTTGATGAGTATTAATACAGTATCACTTAAAGTAAAGCAACAATAATAAAATTCAAAACAAAGATCCCCGGGACATCAAAGCTTCCTGTTAATTTTTGTCCGACTCGACCGCCAATGCGACCCAATTACTGCCCTCAGCTGAGCACATGTTTGCGAGTTCAGAGCTCTAAGTAGGTAGATGTCACAAGAAAAAGTCCTTTTTCAAAGATTTGTTTAACTTAAGTATAGTGTGTGGACAGGGAATGATGCAGAAAGCAAACAAAAAACGGGAACACTGGCAACGAAAAAGCAACAGTGGTCATGAGTCAGGTGTGACGTATGCCAAGCCAGGCTTGTGCCAACATTTGGAGAACAAAACAGCTTAATCATCAAACAAAGATGCCTCAGAAGAAAACAGTGCTCCTGAAATATACCCGTAGATGAAGGAATTTCGCTCAAAAGGTACTTGCTAATATTTTTTGTTTTTAAACTTGACATACTGACAGAGAGTTGGGTGGAGGTGAAAAACAACCCCCCCCCCCATCTTTGTGCAAATTATTTTAAATTGTGCCGAGATGTTTCCAAAATCTGGAACTAAGTGTAACGAACAATGAGACATAACATAGACTAGGTGAATTTTAACAGCATTTGTTGTGCTATGATAAGTTTATAGACAATGGATTGGTGGAAAAGGTTCTTTTAGGACTTAGCGAAACCTCGACTGCCAGCGCAGTGCATCACTTAAGCCGGAACAGGTCTGCAAAGTCGTACCCGCACGAATATCAGAAAACTTTTAGATTTTCGTTTATTTCTCAAGATTGTTTCCTTACGAGGATTTCAACAGATATCAAATCTTCATGGTGTCTCAAACTGAACCAGCTGACCTATCGCTAATCCTAGAGGAAGATCACTCGACCCGCCATGTTCTTCTAACATGTGGTAATCCGTTGTCTCTGGCTGTGCGGGACAACAAATTCACTGTAGAAAGCCTCTAACCTGTCATATTTTAACCACAAAGTTGTCTGTTTTCGGACATTTTGACCTTCTCTCTTTAGAACAGTACATTTGTCGGCAAAAAGATCCACCTATACCAAATATTTTGTGTTCGTGATTTATTACACGGCCTGTACTGCATTCCAAATGCATTGAATTCCAAACGCAACACATGCGGCATGCAAGCTTCGGTTTCCTTTATTTTGATGTAGAAAAGCATAGCTTTCGAATTAAATCAGTTGTTTTACCGATGAATTTAGTTTAAATTTAACTTTAGTCTTCGAGTCTCGAATCTCTCTTTCAGGGTTTAAAAATCATACCTGAACTCCTCAGTTGCGCTGTTGGCTGTTGTTTGATTTCATCAATTATAAATAGGATAAGTGCTACTGACTATTGTAAGCCTTACTAACTCAGCAATACACTTTCAAGTCCTCTTCTACTTCACTCAAACTTCTACGGAAGCTCTAAATCTCGCCCCTTAGCAATTCAGACTGGCTTAATTTGAAAGCAACAACACAAAGTGAAACTATCAAACACGACCATAACTATATGGTTCACGGCTCCGACCAAGAAACACCTTACTCTACACCTTTCTCGTTGTTATTGCAAGCCGGATGCAATCGTTGTTTCGTGGATTTTCAAGTTCTTCCAAAACAAATTGTCAAAGTGTTTCACACTTTAAAAATAGCTCCACAAGCTAACCTCAGCAAATTTGTTTAGCTTCAGCGAACCCGTTTCCTTCCGTGAGAACTTGAATTCCAAAACGTGTTAGAATGGTTAGGGGTTTAAACTAAACTCTTCGCATTAATTCAAACTTGTATAGAAAAGAAGGTTAAACGTTAACATCAGAATGAAATATTTCTCGTCCATAAAATTGAAGATGTTTTCAGCGAAAATGAAGAAAGCATCCATGGTAGTCGTATACCGCGGGGCATTCGTTTAAAGTAATGTACGATTTGCCCCTAACATGAGTTATCTAAGTTTAACACCATTAGAATAATTGATATTTTAAAATCTTTTACTGTAGGTGCAGCACGAGGAAAAGATAATAAAAAGCTAAATTGAATCATCTACAGCACAAAACAACTTGTAGAATTGGAAAACTGAGGAGTTTCATTTCAACAGATACCTTTGCAGAACGCGAAGAATTGCTTTGTTTCTTGGCCTCACTAAGAAACAAGTCAGAGTTTGGTTCTAAAATCGTCGAATGAAATGGAAAAAAGAGAGTGAGTTTGTAGAAAAGGCTCTGGAAAATGAAATTCAGAACGATTGAAACACCTTAGTGCCCAAAATAGAAAAGGCATCGGCAGTTTATCAAACGCAAGCATCACCTCACATTCAAATTCCTCCGGCTACATACCACAACTCGATGGACTCTTTCCACCTTCAAATGCGCTGCGATAATCACTCCAGCCCACGGGAAAACTGTAATACAGGTTGTATATCTATGCCACAAGCAATCTGGAGCCAAAGAACATGTCAGCATCTCGGCAATCATTAATTCAGTGAAGTTTACAATCTTACCTTGCAATGTGTTCCATGGTGGTTTCCTCCTAAATTCCGGACCTATCTAACCGACCAAGCGTCAGAACTCACACATTGTAAATCACAATTATAATGTACTTTACAGCTCATTTATATTACAGTTTTCTTCCTCAATAGCCTTTTAAAATGATTCTTGGTTGGCTCGAAAGTAATAATGATGTATAATCATGTGATTTCAGTTCCATTTAACTTCGGTGGGTAATGAAATATACCACATAGCAAGATTTTGAAGGGGCACTGGAAGCTCTGAGACGCTCACGTTCATATTTTGAAATGTTCTTACAAGCCATTCGTAATAAGCTAGCCTATAATTGAAAAAAGTTTAGTGGAATGATGTCAAAGAGAAACTGAAGTTCCTACTTGGCCATTATATGAATGAATCCCTCGAGGATGCGTGTACTGAACACAGGTGAACACAGGCGTTACTTTAGCTACTTTCCAAGCAGATGGAAAGACCTTATTTGATTTCACTCTCTATTGAGAGATGGTCGTACGGCAGGAGTAGTAACCTTTAAAATCTTGGCGCTAATGCCATCATCATCTATTGCTTTGTGACTTGGAACTTGCCAAAAATCGTCGAAAACAGTATGATTTGCTCTTGAAGACTATGTCTATTAAAAATCAGTCATTGAAGATAACAGCGAAGTATATTAGTTGTTACTAGTGTAAACAAAAAGAGCATTTTACATAATAATAGGCGAAATTATGAGGTAAAACTCGACGCCATTTAAAAGGTCAACGCAAATTTCAAATGATCGTAATTTGATACAAATCGGACTACTGAAACAATAAACCGTTGAATAGTATAATTATTTTTGTTATCTCTTAAATTGTAGTCTACTTTTAGGCCTCTGACAGGACCACCTTGAGTTTTTACTGGTGGTTATTTTTAAGTAAAGGTGTCTATCTAACCAAACATACAAGATTTATCTGACTATTTTCAGTTGCAGAGGTTAAAGATTAACGCTCTAAAAGTTTAACCCCTCCAAGTTGAGCCTTAAAATCGGCCCTTTTGTGCTTGCTGTGTCTAACTACCTAAGTACGGGAACTTGTCAGTTGCAATGTTTGCCGGGAATTCGAGCTCTGACAAGCTGATATGACTCATACATTGGACAGTAAATTCTGTCGTCTTCCATCACTCAAATATAGGTCAAGTTAGATGCCTTGCTTGTTGTCATTGCAATTAATTTGTTCCTGTTTGTGAAGTAAATGCCTACAATGATACATCGAATGCACAATTAATTTCGGCTGCCCCCTTAATGATTATTTTACATTCTTTCAATTTTGCATCTTATTGAACGCAACGTTACTGAAATTTTAGTTACTATGGCATCAATTATTAGTTTGAACATACAATTGCGTCTCATATTTATTTCATGGATGAGTATTTTGACTCGGGGGTCTTATGTTATGGTAATATATTTTAAAACCATAAGATATGATTTTAAAGCATAAAGATGCTTGAAAGCATGATTAATTCTGAACTTGAGAAAGTTTACACCTGGTTATGTGCAGATAACTTTTCATTAAATATTGACAAGTCAAATTTTGTTATTTTCCGTCCAATTCAAAGAAAATTTCCCAAACAGGTTATGTTATCTACAAACAATCCAATTTTAACCCAGGTAACTTCCATTAGATACCTTGGAGTTTACCTAGATTATAATATTAGTTGGAAGACGCATATTACTAATGTTTCTAAAAAAATCAAGAGAAGTATAGGCATTCTGTCCAAGCTCCGTTATTTCTTAAGTTCTAAAACACTACTTAGCCTATACTATGCTTTAGTTGAGCCTTTTTTAAACTACTGCATAATTGTTTGGGGTAATACCTATCAGACAGCTTTGCAACCTTTATTTATATTACAGAAGAGAGCCTTAAGAATAATTACTTTCTCTAGTTATAGCGAACATTAAAGTCCTTTATTTAAAGATCTAAATGTTGTGTAGTTGTTTGACATTATTACCTTTCAACTATCAGTATTTATGTACAAGTTTCACAAGAAACTCTTACCTCCTGTATTTGACCCTTATTTCAATTCTGTTAGAGTGTTCCATAATTATAATACCAGATTATCTAGCAAAATGACTTATACTATTCCAAATGCCAGAACAAATTATGGAATCTTCAACGTAAGATTTCAGGGTGCTAAAGTCTGGATTTATACAAGTGTAGACATAAAGCTTCTTCCTCTGAAACGTTTTAAGAAAAACCTTAAGCTAATTCTTCTTGATAAATATTAATAATTTTTCTGGCCTTCCGTTTGTTTTTTACTCTGATATTCCTTGCTTCCTTCACCTTGTTTTGTATGATGAATGAGTGTGTGTGTGTGTATGCGTGTGTGTGTGTTGTGTGTGTTATATCTGACCCAAATAATCACATTACATAAATCGCCTAAGTATAGCTGCCCTTTTCTATCTAGCCCCTATGGTTATTTTGGGGCAGCTAGTACTCCTTTATATTCTTGTCAATTTATCATTATTTTTATCAGTATTTTTTATGTTGGGTACAAATAAAGTTGTTGTTGTTTATATAAGTTATTTGTTGTTGTTAAATGCACGAAGTTGACAGAAAATGGACAATAAAAAATCAGGCGTTTGGCTCTAAATGTTTACGATATTTGTCTTGCACCTAAAGTAACTTCTTCGCAGATCACCAAAACATGTACACATTTACATGGAATTGAGAGGTCTAAATCAACTTAGAGCTTTCTCCGTGCTTCCTCTATAATTACATACAAAAGTGATTTGTTGCTAAGATTGTTTGTTATTATTCTTTTCTCTCTACTGTGCCACAATTTGAATTCTGTCATTCTTATTTTCCTAGTATGACGGTTGTTCGTATTGTTGTTGATATTGTTGTTTATGCATGATGTTCCATTACCCTGTGTCCCTCAGTTAGGCTTCAGTTTTAGTCCAAATTTCTTTCGCATACTTATATTTGTGTTGGACTAAAAACTAAGCCTGAAATGAAACTTGTAGCAGGTTAATGAGAGCTAAAGAATTAGAGACTGTTCTCAGAGAGAAGGTTAATCTAGCGTCGATTTATTTGACCACACCAAGACTTAAACGAGAATTCTTAGCGATGTCTGGACGAAGGTTTTTTTTTTCAGAAATGGTTTTCTTAACTTGAGTTTAGCTCTAATTTTCATAGGCTATTACTATTATGTATGAGTTCAAAAAAAAATTTCAGCAACCGGCGAAATAGTAAAAAACCCTCATTAATGTGACGTGGCTTCCGAACATCGTCAGAAGATCAACCGGCTTGCGGGATGATCATTCGACTGCATGCACGCGATCTGGGACTTGTCTCGTTAGCTGAATCATGGTAAACGAACTTATTTTGAAGCAGAGGTTAAAGATTAACGCTCTAAAAGTTTAACCCCTCCAAGTTGAGCCTTAAAATCGGCCCTTTTGTGCTTGCTGTGTCTAACTACCTAAGTACGGGAACTTGTCAGTTGCAATGTTTGCCGGGAATTCGAGCTCTGACAAGCTGATATGACTCATACATTGGACAGTAAATTCTGTCGTCTTCCATCACTCAAATATAGGTCAAGTTAGATGCCTTGCTTGTTGTCATTGCAATTAATTTGTTCCTGTTTGTGAAGTAAATGCCTACAATGATACATCAAATGCACAATTGATTTCGGCTGCCCCCTTAATAATTATTTTACATTCTTTCATTCTTGCATTTTATTGAACGCAACGTTACTAAACTAACGTGAAACTTTGGTTACTATGGCATCAATTATTAGTTTGAACTGGCAATTGCGTCTCATATCTATTTAATGAATGAATATTTTGAGGTTTTATGTTATGGTAATATATTTTAAAACCATAAGTTATTCAGGTTGTTGTTGTTAAATGCACGAAGTTGACAGAAAATGGACAATAAAAAATCAGGCGTTTTGCTCTAAATGTTTACGATATTTTTCTTGCACCTAAAGCAACTTTCACCAAAACATGTATACATTTACATGGAATTGAGAGGTCTAAATCAACTTAGAGCTTTCCTCGGGCTTCTTCTATAATTACATACAAAAGTGATTTGTGGCTAAGATTTTTATTATTTTTTTCTCTCTACTGTGCCACATTTTGAATTCTGTCCTTCCTATTTTTCTTTGTATGACGGTTGTTCGTATTGTTGGTGATATTGTTGTTTATGGTGGTCCATTACTCTGTGTCTCTCAGTTACGCTTCAGTTTTAGTCCAAATTTCTTTGGCATACTAATATTCGTGTTGGACTGAAAACTAAGCCTGAAATGCAACTTGTAGCAGTTTAATGAGAGCTAAAGAACTAGAGACTGTTCTCAGAGAGAAGGTTAATCTAGCGTCGATTTATTTGACCGCACCAAGACTTAACGAAAATTGTTACCGATGTCTGGACGAAGGTTTTTTTCAGAAATGGTTTTCTTAACTTGAGTTTACCTTTGATTTCCCTAGGCCATTACTACTATGTACGTGTTCAACAAAAAATTTTAGCAACCGGCGAAATCAGTAAAAAAACCCGTATTAATGTGACGTACCTTCCAAAGGTCGTCAGAAGATCAACCGGCTTGCGGGATGATCATTCGACCGCATGCGCACGACCTGGGACCTGTCTCGTTAGCTGAATCATGGTAGACAAACTTGTTTTGAAGTAGAGGTCAAAAAAAAAAGCACTAAGCTTTATGCTATCTCCTTTCGGAAAACATCTGTCTTGCTCATTACCGCAACTGTTCGTGGACAGTAAGTGATGGAAAGAGCAAGCAAGCAGTGTTGCCAAGGTAAAAACGCCAAAGGCAAGGAGTTCGACGTGATCGCGTCATCCCAGGGTGTCACCCCGAGTTTTGAGAGTGAGGCTGTTAATAGTTTACCACAAAACGACTCCGCGGGAAACAGCGTTCAAGAGATATATCCTTGGATGAAGGAGTTTCGCTCGAAAGGTAAGACGACGGTTCCGTAAACTCTTTTTTAGGTCAGAGAACAGGAACAGGGAGGGTGGGCGGAGGTCTGAAACAACCATTCTTTGTGCAACTTATTGGCCTGCGGAAATGTTTACGAAAATCGGAAATGAAATCATGCGAACCAAGAGATAAATCAGCGGTTGAGTGTAGACGAAGAGTGTTTGCACGCTGTCAACTTCTTGAGTGGCGGATTAGTAAGATTGTTGGCTCGTAGCTCTTGTAGTTCCTCGCCGGACAACATGGCGATTCGTTCAGATGCTTCGTCCGTCACTGAGGAAAATTTACGTAACTCCTGACATCGTGCTGTTGGAAATCCCTGTCAGAAAGAGAGAGACTTTTAACATCTTTCATTTTCAAAACGGAATTTGAGATGAATACTCAAAGAGGTTGTCTGAGAATTCTGAAAGGTCCAGGTTTTTAAGCCGTTTCGTAGCTAAGACGAATCGCGTTAGAATAGAAGCAAATTATCTATCCTGGGTATGTGAAAAATTTGTTATTCTGTAGCAAAGGACTGCGCTCATGGATCTTGCCAAAGGGATTTCTCCATTGTGATTCCCTTATTGTCTCAAAAGGGTCAAATGGTCTTTAGCGTCCGTAGGACAAAAACCATTCGATCGTGATAACTAAGTATGTTTTAATCCATCCCTTCATGCTGTGAAGGGCGACAAATGGCATCCTATGTTGTTTGACCTTTCTTTCCCAAGATTTTGCGTTCTGTGGGTAGAAAGACACAATAATGTCACGATATTTCACATTTCGTGATCCATTCGGATTGCTCGTGCTGCGCTGCATGCAAGTGGCATTGTCATTCGCGATCATGATTGCGAAAGACTAACGAATGGCATGCATTAAACAGCTCACTCGTATTTTAGCCATTAAAGGTAGACAGATTGTTCCTTCTTTACCACGGAAAACAAACTCGGGGTTGTGAATTTCAGAGCGTTCAATTTCAAGGATATTCTCTGCTGTCTACATGCTTGTACACTTATGACGTGGAATTTTTGCTTTCTTATGCGGATTTTGACGCTCCTTCATAAACAAATGTCTTTTTAACCGCTTTATAAAAACAAAATTATGTTCACAAATTTTCAAAATGATAATTATTCAGAGTTTGAACAATCTATGTGTATTTCTGCCATCTCTTTGACCCTAGTAAGCTTGCAATTTTCAGTTAATAGCCACTATTTGCATCATAAGCCTCCTTTCTCCTAAATGCAACACATTTAACGGTGCTTACTGTCCTATTTCGCCCTGTAGGAGGTATAATTTTTCTATCAACTTCTAGGAATAATTGAGAAGTTTGTCTCCTCGCTTTTCTCTGCGTTGGAATAAGCAAGGCTTTCATTGGACCTCTGTGGTTACTACCCAGGACTGTTTTTCCTTGCAGCCAATGTCACACATTTCTCTCAAAGGATTTCAGTTTTCAGTTTTGTAAGCCGAATACCCATAATTTGTATGCATGGTGATATCGCACTTACAAACTTACTTTAGTCATTGTAATCTTGCGATGAAATTTCCTTTTGTAGCTTTTTATAAACTTGCGTCGTCAAGAAAAAGCTTGCTTATTGAATTAGATTACACCTTGGTTTTTACTCAACATGATTCATAGAGACTGCTTGAAAAACTACAAGTAATTACAACATATACGTTGATTCTAACGGATGAGATATATCTGGTCCAGCGTAGATCAAACGCTGTATACAAATAGCGAAAGATAAAGATTTATTCTGTGTAAAATAAATCACACCCGCGACAGTGAGACTCTAACAGAGCGCCATTGTTTAATTTTCAAGGGTGGAGCCATTTCCCTCTATAATTAGAACTAGCAATCTGACGTGGAAAAATCACGAACAACAATTACAATTCTGCTATCTCTGTGTTTAGGAGCAGCGCAAGAGAAAGATAACATAAAGCTCAATCGAATCATCTACAGCACAAAACAACTGGTAGAATTGGAGAAGGAGTTCCACTTCAACAGATACCTTTGCAGACCGCGCAGAATTGAAATCGCTCTGTCGCTTGGACTCACCGAGAAACAGGTCAGAGTTTGGTTCCAAAATCGTAGAATGAAATGGAAGAAAGAAAGTGAATGTGTAGAGAAGGCACTAGAGAATGAAATCCAGGAACGAATTAGACAACTCAGCACTCAAAATGCCTTTGGAAGCCAGTTATCAGTGTTCTATATGATGAACGTGCAACCAAACGCGCCCCCACTTAACAAATGGATGCGCCCTATCAATCAATATTCTGTTCAAATGCATCTGAACCACGATGCAAGACTTAGGGACAAGCCGAAAGCGATCTGGAGTAAAGGACCGCCAGGTCATTGGTGATTGCCAAGCATCTGTTTTGGGAATAGGACTTCCTTTGGTTCCCAACCAGCATTCACACCTCGTAAATTACATTTAACTAATTTACAGCTCATTAATCTTGTTTCGGTTCTAGTTCTGTTTACAATGAAGGAACGCATGGGAAGATTCATTTGCCTTCTTGTGACGTTGCGTATATCAAAGGTTCTGTTTAATTCGCACAGTTGCATTATACACGAGAAATTGAAAGGGTCGTTTTAATTCTAGATTTAATACTTAGATCGTCTTTATACAATTTTATATTTAGTTATGCACAAATATAGCGTATTCACCTCTTATTAACACTTCAAACTGAAGAAAACGAAAGATGGATAATAAACTGTACATGCAGACATACAGGCAGAGATAACACGATTAACATGCGTGAATTGCAAGTTGAGAATTGAAAAGATACGAGATACCTTTTTCTTCTTAAGAAATTCCCACAAACCTCAACTCGTACTTTATTTAAGAGCTCCTTCAATATCCACAATTTGTGACCCATAACAGACCGAAAAGAAAAGTGTCATACAACATTTTCAGTGCAGAGCTCAAAATCAAGCTTTTAATTTGTCGGGTTTATCAAAAGAGAGTGTTGAAGCCGTGTTTGGTCGGCTTCCAGCACTATTATATTGCTCAACTTCACTTGAACGATGTTTTCATATCTCGAGCTCAATCTGGCTGAGCTTCTAAGTAGACAAGAAGTCACAAACTTTACCTTTATGCATACAGCTAGTGGCATCTTTCAAATTAAATCTTATGTCTGAAACAGAATAATTTTAAATAGAATGAATGTGTGCATTTTAATAACCAAAGATTAACTTATCCGTTTTTTACACATTTTGTTCGGTTCATTGTCGTGTCTCTGTGTAGTAGAGTAATTTAGGGCAAATAAGTCTCCGTCCCCGCTAATAAGTCTCCGTTATTTCACTAAATGTTTCGTTAGCGCACCCTACACCACTCGACAAGTTTTTATCTCGTTCCCACAGTGCCCTTGTCACATTAGAAGGAGAAACAGTTTTATTGTTATGAAACGCACAGGAAGTGGCTTTAGTGGCCCGGAAAGCAAAAGCGTAGAAGCGTAGGTGGCAACACGAGACTTATTTGTGTGTTTCCACCCGCCTACCGAAACCTCTTCGTACTTCTTAGGTAAACGGCATGCAGGATACTAGTTAGCAATCTGATAATACCCTCGAGATTTGTATCG